TAGCAGCACGAAGAGAGTCAGACTCCGGGTCAGCAAGGGCAGGAAGAGAGGACGCAGGAGGAGAAGGCAGCGGGACACGCTGTGGAGCAGTGGAAGGACGAAGTGTCATCTGGTGAGTGCCTTGGACAGCAAGAGGACGCTGACGCGGGACATGACGACCAGTGCGAGCAGCACGAACAGGTGATGCAGAACGAGACTCAGGCGACACAGGACGAGGCTCAGGCTCACAACGCTCCGTAAGACCTCCTGTCGGACCAATGTAGGCAGAAGGACAAGGGAGTGGCGAGGCAGGCGGTAGCTGTGACAGCGACTGGAAAGGCGGAACACAAGCAAGAGGCGGCTGACCAAGAACCTGCTGAAGGAGGGGAACGAAGTACGGCTGTGGCCGTGAAGTGCCCCTAGAACCAGCAGAGACAGCACCAGAACCTCCAGCAGCAGCTCCAACTCCCTTAGTACCACCAACAGCTCCAGTACCTCCAGCAGCACCAGCAGCACCTCCAGCAGGACCAGCACTAGTAGCACCTCCAGCAGCACCAGTACCTTCAGCAGCACCAGCACCAGCCGCACCACCAGCCCTAGTACCAGTAGCACCACCAACAACTCCAGCAGCTCCAGTACCTCCAGCAGCACCAGCAGCACCTCCAGCTGGACTAGCTCTAGCAGCTCCAGTAGCACCCCTAGTCCCAACAGCTCCAGTACCACCAGTACGAGCACCTCTAGGACCAGTGGCTCCAGCACCTCCAGCGCCAACCCCAGGGTCAGCAGCTATACCAACTCCAGTAGGCCCTGCGTCCTCAGCTCCAGCTCTAGTAGCACCTCCAGCGTCCACAGCACCACGGCGGCGGCGATAGTACCGAGAGTACCATTCACGCAGCTGCTGGGAATAGAGAGCGCCCCCAGGCGCAACACCCCCAGGCTCAAGACCTCCAGGCTCAGCACCCCTAGGCACAGCACCCCCAGGCTCAGTACCCCCAGGCTCAGCACCCGCAGTCTCCGCACCCCCAGGCTCAGCACCCGCAGTCTCCGCACCCCCAGGCTCAGCACCCCCAGTCTCAGTACCCCCAGACCCAGCACCACCAGGCTCAGCACGCTCAGTACCTCGCGCAGGACTAGAGTCGACAGCTACCTCGACGGGCTCGACCGGGTCTACCTGGGAAACACCTGAGGGAGTAGCACCCTGGGAAGGTAGGGGGTCTACCAAAGCAGCACCTGGCGTGAGGAAGAGCGGCAGAGGGGGGAGCGGGGCAGTGCGGTAAAGGAAGAGATGGTAGAAGGGGACCGACTCGTCAAACGTGACGTCCTGAGAGGGGAAGACACGGCGCGAGGTGGGGTGGCAAAACTGCCAGCCAAGCGCGTCAGGAACAAAGCCCAGGAAGGCACAAGGAACGGCGCGGGAGGAGAGCTTGTCTGCGGACGTATCGCGGACAAAGGCACGAGATCCCCAGACCCGGAACACAGACGCATCGCCAACCTCTCCCGTCCAATGCAGTGTGCGCGAGGTATCCGGAACGGAGACACGAGGCCAGAGGTTGAGCTGATGCGCGGCGTACCGGACCGCAAACGGCCACAGAAAATGGGGGGCAGCCGCATAGACCAACGAGGTACGAGCGACCTCCATGACCAAGCCAATGCAGCGCTCAGCAACCCCATTCTGCTGAGGAGAGGCCGGAAGCGTGAACGTCTGGCGAATGCCCTCCCCCGGACAGAAGGTCTCCAAGAGACCGGAGGAAAACTCACCACCTCTGTCAAAGTGCAGTCGCAAGACGGGAAGGTCCGTGCGAAAGCGCCTCTCCAGCTGGAGACGGGTAGCGCGGATCCAAGGGATCAAGACAGCAGGGACCTTCTACTTGGTGCGCAAGGGGAAGACCGTGGTGTAACACGTGTAGTCGTCCACTACCAGCAGGAAGTAGCGCTCTCCACCCTGTCCACGGACGCGGGCTGGGCCCCACACGTCCATGTGAAGGGTCTGCAGAGGAGCCTCTGTCGGGGGAAACTCAGAGGAGTGAGGGGTGGCACGCTGCCGCCCCTCGACACAGGGAATGCAAGGAGGGGGCGGGGACGGTGGCAGGGGAGGCAGTGACCTGGGGAGACCCGAGACAAGGAAACGAGAGTGCATGCCACGAAGGCGCTGCATCAAAGGGTGCCCAAGGCGGTGGTGCCAGAGGATCGTCCGGTGCGACAAGGTGCGACACGAGCAGGGGGCGGACAATTGACCTGACGCAGACGCAGACGCCGCTACCTGAGGGGACTCAGTGGTCAGTGTGTACAAGTCCGACCCCGGCTTCCTAGTGAAGGTAGCCAAGTGACGACCGGTCTGGGCACACGTCTAGTGTGTCACACGCTCGTAGGCAGGGGTGAACTGGTGAACACCCGCGTCCTGGAGTGTAGAACCCGCCACCAAGTTCGTAGAGAACGAGGGGAGGTAAAGGCCCGACAATGTGCCGGACGGGACAGCAGAACAAGGGAGGGCTGTGGTGGAGGTCGCAAGGACCGGACCCCCTGAGGGGTCAGCCAGGGAGACAGCAACCGGCCTAGGGAGCTGCTCGAGGGCAGTGCGGTCGCGAAAGAAACAGCGAGAAGCACCTGAGTCCAATGTGAAGGTGTGCAGTGCCTCAGTAGACTCAGTACCGAAAGGCGCAGACTCACAAGCACCTGAAGCAGTAGACACACCTGCACCTAGAGCAGCAGCCTCACCAGGACCAGGGGCAGCAGACGCACTAGCACCTAGAGCGGCAGCCTTACCGGCACCCGGAGCAGTAGACTGGATACCGGGGTCAGGCGGCACACACAGGTGACACGCTCCCTCGGCACTAGTAGACAATGCATACATTGCAGTGAGAATAGCATCATAGTCAAGAGCAAAGATATCTACCCTCTGCCTAAGCAAATCCACCCAGTCGGGGAGCTCAGCGTCGTCGCCAAACTCTGTACGCCAAGCGTCGCTCAGACGGGTGAAGCAGCGGGACTCTATGTGACCACGCGTCCCGCAAGGCTCACCAGTCCGAACACCCGTGCTAATAACGTACGGGCAGCGAGCAGTACTCAGCGACCCTCGACTCTGAGCGTACCACTCACGATGCTGCTGGGGCGAAAGAGTCTCGCGCGGACGACGCTGCTACTGCACCAGGCCACTACAAGAAGCTCCCGACCTACCCACTCCAGGACGACTCCCACTACGGCCACCCCGACAACCCCAACTGGCGTACCACTCACGAAGCTGCGGGGGCGTGAGGGACATACGCGGATGGCCCTGGAGCTGCATCAGGCCACGCCAGGAGCAGCAGTAGAAGCAGTAGCAGCAGGAGCAGCAGTAGCAGTAGCAGCAGCAGGAACAGCAATAGCAGCAGTGGTAGCGGTAGCAGCGCGGGCAGGGCAGTGCTCACCAGTGGTGGGAAGGGCAGGCGCACGACGGAGGCGACTGCGGGGCCGCTACAGCGGTAGGGAGCTCCGCAGCAGCTGCTGCAGGGCGGGGCGACGACTGCGGCTAGGGGCTCCGCGGCAGGTGCTGCAGGGCGGGACCGGGCCGCGACGGCAGCTGGTGCAGGGCAGGGACAGGGCCGCGACGGCCGCTGCTGCAGGGTGGGGCGGGGCCGTGACGGCAGCTGCTGCAGGGCGGGGCAGTCCGCGACGGCAGCTGCTGTAGGGCGGGGCAAACCGCGACGGCAGCTACGGCAGGGCGGGGCAGTCCGCGACGGCAGCTGCTGTAGGGTGGGGCAGGGCCGGGAAGGCAGCTGTTGCAGGGCGAGGCAGGGGCGGCCGTCCAAAGGGCGGGCGCGGGATAGGGCAGGGCGACGCGGCGGGCAGGGGCGACGCCGCGCGGGCCCCGCAGGGGCGTCGCGACGAGCGGGGGCGACGCCCGGGTCCCGCTGGGGCGGCGCGACGCGCAGGAGCCGCGCCTCGCGGGTCCTGCAGAGGCGTCGCGAAGAGGCAGGGGCGACGCGCGGGTCTCGCAGAGGCGTCGCGACGAGGCGAGGGGGGGACGTGCGGGTCCCGCAGAGGCGTCGCGAAGAGGCAGGGGGCGACTCGCGGGTCCCGTAAGGGCGTCGCGAAGAGGCGGGGGCGACGCGCGGGTCCCGCAGAGGCGTCGCGAAGAGACAGGAGGCGATGCGCGCGGGTCTTGGCGGGCTGCAGGCGCCGGCGTGCAGCAGCTGCGGCGCGGGGGTTACTGCCTGCGCGCGAGCGGCCTACGGGCGGCGTACGGGCTGCCTACGGGCTGCCTACGGGCGGCAGCGGCCTACGGGCGGCGTACGGGCTGCCTACGGGCGGCGGCCTACGTGCAGGCAGGTCGCGGGCGGCTCGAGGGGCCGCGCGAGGCCGGTACGAACTGCGTGGGCGGCTAGCGGGCTGCGTGCGCACGGGCAGAGGACGGCGCGCGGGCAGAACGAAGAGCGGGGCGCGCGAGGGCGCACTAGCAGAAAGAAGGCGCACGAGGGCGCACGAGAAGAGAAAGGCGCACGAGGGCGCACGAGGGCGCGTCTAGCGGAATAGTGGGCCTGTAGTAGTAAGCGGTCCTAGGTGGCTAACCTAGGCTCGTGATACCATGTCAGAATGAACAAAAGTGATTGAACTAGGAAAGAGTTGGGTACAAGTAGGAAACCCTAAACTTACTGTACCCCATAGTAACTACCCCTCTACAGACTAAACAAACTGTAGCAGATTTAACATTTGACATTGTAAGCATATTTTGTTTGCTGTAATATTCGTATAGATTGCCTAGTGTCTACTGGTTTTCATGCATGGACCATTCGTAACAAAAATAATGCTCAATATGAGGAATTATTATAGTTATGATTTCATGTGGGTGGAACCCCCTCTTACGCCATATCATCTCTATCACTCATATCATTTCATCTCAACAGCCGTGAACCCGCCAAAACCAGTGTCGAGGACAGAGCTTTCCACAAATGCCACAATTCGCGATACGCCAAATGCGGCAACTCATCAATTAGCCTCTCATGTTTCGTGAAAACACAGGTCGCTGAAAGCAAACTCATTCGTAAATGGCTTCGTCTCGACCGTTGGATCGCATCGGCCTTCCGCAGCCGCTGATCAACCGGTTCTTCGCGCGAGGCTTGACTACTGCCCAGGTGCGCCGGCAGGCGGGCTTGAAGGGGAGATACTGCAGGAAAGGGGGAGGGGGGAAGGATAATCGGGTGGGAATACCGGGGGATGAACAGGGGAACGAGCAGGTAAAGGCCGGTGCGATCCCTCCGCTCCTTTCGCTCCTCCCACCCTTCCCGCTCTTCCCGCGCATCCCGCGCATCCCGTACCTCCCCTCCTCCAGCAAGTCCTTTCGTTGACCGCCGTTGACCTCATGGAAGTGCTTGACTGCGACGGCGCGACCGTGCGCGTCGCCATGATAGCCGTCTCGCGCGCCGCCTGCCCGCCGTCCTGCACCGTCGCCGACATCGCCGCGGCCGGCGGAACTGGTCATCTGCGCCTCGACCTCCCTGCGCTCGACGCCGCGCTCGCCGGCGGGTTACCCTGCGGCGCAATCACGGAAATCGCGGGCCCGGCGGGCGCGGGGAAGACGCAGATGTGCATGCAGGCGGCGGTCATGGCGACGCTGCCCGCATCTGCCGGCGGGTTTAACGCGTCCGTGGTGTATTTCGACACTGAGAGGCGGTTCAGCCCGAAGCGCGTGGCGGAGATTGCGGTGAATCGGATCCCTGCCTTCTTCTCGTCCCACATGGCCATGGAACAGGTTCGAGCACATTTGGGAACCAGTTCCCTCTCTCTGTCGCTTCCTCCCTTCCTCTCCTCTTCTTTCCTCTCCTCTCCTCTCCCCTCACGCTCTTCCTCTTCTCCTCCTTTCCCTCTCCCCGTCGTTTTCTCCTCTCCTCTTTCCTTTCCTCCTCATTCCATTCCCTTCCCTCGTCTCTGTTCTGTTCGGCCCTCCCTATCTGCCCTGCCCAGCATATGTTCTCCACCCGATTCTTCCCTTCCCTTCCCCTTCCACCAGCTCCTATCGCGCATCCTTTTAGTGCAGCCCGTGTCCTCAGCAGAACTCTTGGATAGGTACGTTGACTTTCGAATCACTCACTTCACTTCCCCCAATTCTGTCTGTCTTTCTCATCGACCTTTGCCCCCTGTCCTCTGCCCTCCCCGCGAGCCCTTCCCCTGCCCCCTTCCCCTACCCCCTGCTCCCTACCCCCTACCCCCTGCCCCTGCACACGCCCATCTGTCCCCTTTTCTCAGAATAGCCAATCTGCACACGTCGCTGGCAGGCAACAGCACGCGGCTCATAATCATCGACAGCATTGCTGCGCTCGTGCGCATGTGAGCTTAGTTTCCAGACTTGTTCCTTATTCATGTTCATTTCGCGGGAAGGTGTGATTTGACGTCCTTGCTAGCAGAATCCTTTACCTGGTGAGGTGGCATGTGTGTGTATGCGTACATGTGCTTGTTTTCGTGTGTGTATGCGTACATGCGCTCTTGTGTGTGTGTGTGTGTGTGTGTGTGTGTGTGTGTGTGTGTGTGTGTGTGTGTGTGTGTGTGTGTGTGTGTGTATACGTAAATGTGTTTGTGTATATCGGGGATCTGCAGTGACTTTGGAGCGGATAATCTCATTCAGCGACAGCAGCTGCTTTCTCATCAAGCCTCAAAGCTCAAGTGAGACGCCATCACTCTAACACGCTCTTGCTCCCACATCTCCCTCTTCCCCTCCTACCCTTATACCTCGCTTTCCCTCGACGTCCACCCCACCAAAAGCCCTGGTGCATTCTCTCTTGTACTTTTCTCCTCCCGAATTCCCCCCCTCCTTCACTACACACCCTTCCGCTTCTCCATTACACTCCTTGCCCCCCCCTCTCGTCTGCATTCCTTTCCACTCTCCCTTGTGCTCCCAAGGTACCTGGCCGAGAGCTTCTGTCTGCCTGTGCTCGTCACGAATCACGTTGCTGCAGCGTCCTCCTCCTCTTCCTCGCGCTCTGCCGGCTTGCCCGCACCAAATGGTGAGTTTTTTTTTTATCACGTATATGTATTATGTATATGCAATATACATATATACATAACAATCAGAGCATACACAACAACAAGAAATAAATTACGTTATTTGTACTGCCCTCCATGCTAAGTTCCACTAAAAAAAGGCTAATGAGACTACATGAACTCCTTGCATTCTTGTGTGTAGAATCAAAGTCATGTCCCTGCTCAACACTAGAGCATCCAAGGGCTGTGCTGGCCCTTCCATTACGGGTCAGGGGTCAACATCATTCCACAAACCTTGCTCCTCCTTCACCATCTCTCCTCTCTCGTGACCCGTGTTCTACCTCCCGTTCTGTCCACCTCCACCTGCCCGTCATCCCCTCCTTTCCCTCCTCCTTTCCTCACCCTCTTGTCTCTTCTCCCTCAGAGATGGACGGCAGGAGAGCAGCGCTGGGTGCAAAGTGGTCTCACTGTGTCAACGTGCGCATGCTGCTTTTGAGTGGCCTAAAGAATCCCTCTCATTCCTTCCCTTTTTCCCCATCCTACCGTCTCTTCCCTCCCAGAGATGGACGGCAGGAGAGCAGCGCTGGGTGCCAAGTGGTCTCACTGTGTCAACGTGCGCCTGCTGCTCTCCACCGTCACCCATGCTTCTGGTACATGCATATACACATCATTGCATACATGCACACATAAGTTTGTATACATTCATGCATATGCATAATGCATGTGTGTACTTCCACCTGGTGGTACAAGGATTTGCAGACAAAGAGAGATGTGAAGTTGTGAAGATAGTGCACTAATCGTTGGACAAAGAGAGATTTTCTGGGGAAACCACTTTCCACCACTTGTTGCCTCTGCGTTGCCTCAATTCAAATCATTGGCAGGCTCCCATCGTGTCTTGCACATTGCGAAAGCACCCATGGCGCCTCAAATCTCGTTCCCGTTCACCATCACCAACAGTGGCCTCCAGGTATTTGTTATCAAGTTTCTTGCCCTTTCTTGCCTTTTGAAGTGTGGTGCGTATCTTATCGCCACTGTGATTGCTTCCTATCTTGTTTCCTTTGCAGCTTTTGTGATAGAGAGGATTTTGTTGCTCAATGGTGGCATGACGTTTCGACAGCTGATTTGCAAGTAGCTACGCAATGAGATTCATTCATGTATAGAATATTTTCATAGGTAAATAGTTCCACCCATTCTTTTGTTGATTAACCAATAATCTACACACTAGTTCCTCACCTTCTTCTAGAGGCTTCTGATGACACGGGTTGTACACGGACAGCTTTTGCCGAGCCCTCCTCTGCCCTAAACCCTGCTTGCGGCTAGATTTGACGGCGAACATTTGCGGTTGCTCCTTTCCACTACCTCCTAAAAACCCTTGTATTAATGCCACCCCTTCAACCTTCACTCACATCCTTTTCACCCTTACCAAACCAAACCCGGACCCGCCTTCTGGTGTGGGTGTGGCTGTTCTCTGCTGGGCAATAGAAGTTTGCTCAACCCGCGCCGTGCTCGCGTGCATTGTAACGGAGATCGCGATATTGCTGTCTAGTGTACCGAAGACTTATTAGGCTTTTTTCGACTGTCAAGAAGTAATCGCACGCAGGGTCTCGCGAGAACTCGCACAGCGGCCGCCATGGCGGAGGAGTGCGAACCTCCGAAGAAGATGCTTCTCGACGACGATTACGAAGATGAGGTGGCGGTCGCGAAGGGTTACGTTGGCGAAGAGTTCGAGCTTCGCATCAACGAGGAATACGCGAAGCGCCTCGAGTACAACAAGCGGCGCGAGGAGATGCACAAACTGGAGGAGAAGGTAAAGGCGGGCTACCTGCCCTCGGGGGAAAGAAGCGCGGGGTTCCGCGGAAGAGGCCGCGGCGCTGGCGGAAGATTCGGCGGAAGGGGTTGGGGCGAAGGCGGAAGGGGAGGCGGACGATGGGGCGGAAGGGGACGAAGTTTTGGCGGATCTTGGGGGCAAGACCGCCGGTTTGGGCGGAATGACGAGGCGCAGGGGGAGGGGGAGGGGGAAGCAGAGGCGGAGGCGGAAGAAGGAGAGGCGGAGGATAGCGAGGAGGAGGAGGACGAGCGGGACGAGCATCTCTTTCGCCTGGATCAGGATGTTAAATTCGTACAGGCCCTTACGAGGATCAAGAACAAAGATCCGGAGATCTTTAAACCCGGTAAACACCTCTTCGAATCGGACGGGGAGGAGGAGGAAGAGGACGAGGAGGAGGAGGAAGGGGAAGGGAAGGGGGACGCTGCGGGAGAGGAAGCGGGGAACGAAGAAGAGGACGAGGAGGAGGACGAGAAGGAGAAGAAGCAGAAGAAGAAGAAAAAGGCCAAGGCGGTTTATCTGAAGGACGTGTTGGCGCAGCAGGCGATCGACGGCGTCGGGCTCAGCGACGACGAGTCTGGCGGAGACGGTGACGGCGGCGGGGAGCGGGCGTCGCGGAAGGGCTACTTCGCGGAGCAGGAGGAGCTGAAGAAGGCGTTCCTCGACGGCGCGGAGGCAGGTGGGTGTGCGCGCGGGGATGGGAGGCGGGTGGGTGCGCGGGGAGGGGAGGCGGGTGGGTGCGCGGGGATGGGAGGCGGGTGGGTCGAGGGGTGGGGGGGTGGGGCGCGAGGCGAACGCAAGTCATTTCTATTGCGCGTAGCTAGTGCTAGCAGGCTTGATTTCCATCCTGCATTGCTTCGAGGCGAGGCCTTCCTTGCGTGAGCTAGTCTCGTGCACAAGGGCCGTAAAAGACAAGTGGACGTCAGGGTTCAGGGTTTTAGATGTTGTGCATGGTATTTGTCATTTTCTTAGCCAACCCAGTCCACGTGTATCAGCCAGGGGTTTATCCGTGGAGATTGGGCATTTCTAGTGGTTAATTCGCGTAGACGGCGAATTTAAGGGCCTTGTCCAGGTATTTGCGAGTCTCTTTTGGACAATCTCCCGTTGCACGTTCGAATCGAGTCCAGCTGTTCGAAATGATGAGGCGACTGCATATCGCGTCTTGTCCCAGTGGTGGCGAGGCGAGCGAGTCCCAGTCGCATGTCCTTCCTTACTCGCCTTACCTGTTGTAAGCTGTTGTTGTTCCGAGCATTTTCGAAGACGCCAACAACCAGGAGTCTCGCGGCGGTGATCCTGAGGTCTCAAATAGGCTGGCGTGATGGGATGGCGGCTTGTGAGGCCGCTTGTGAGGCGGCCGTGCCGTGTTCAAGGATTGTTGCGCTGGCGCGATTGCCTGCTCTCTGGAGTGCTGATGGTTTATTCATTGAGAGTAGAGAGAGAGACGTTTTTGATTTGTTGGGTTTTTTTTTTTTTTTTTTTTTTTTTGTTTCTCAATGTGCCACGTGGCGCAGCCGAGGAGGGCGAGGAGGGCGAGCTTCTGCGAGTCAAGAAGAAGAAGGGCAGCAAAAAGGCTAAGACAAAGGCGGAAGGCGAGGATGCGGAGGAGGAGGAGGACGAGGAGGACGAAGGGGAGGAGGAGGCGGGCGGGTGGGGCGATCCGGCGGTGAAGGGCGAGGTGCAGAAGCGGCTGGAGGAGTTCTTTGGTCGCGACGAGCAGCAGCTCTCGGAGGTGGACCAGTACCTCAAGTCGTACCTGCTGGAGCGGAAGTGGGTGCAGGACGACGAGGTGAGACGGGGAGAGGGTTATGAGATGCGAGTGGGAGGGGCGATGGGAGAAGCGGGGAAGGATCGGGGGGGCGCATGGCATGAGAGGAGGTCGACCAGTACCTCAAGTCGTACCCTCTGGAGCGGAAGTGGGTGCAGGACGATGAGGTGAGGACGGGGAGAGGAGATGTGTGAGCGCGTGCGTGAAGGTTGGGACTGGGTGTTGCTTGGTTTGGATTAAATGGGGGAGGAGGCGAGTAGACAAAGTGGGGTATGGGTGGGGTGGGGTTGACGCAGTGTGGAGAAGTGGCGCGGCGACGCAAGTTGTTTGTACCTGTTAGAACGCACGTAGGCTCGGGCGTTCCTTTTTCTTGTTGTTGTTGATTTGCTTTTCTTTCTCAAGTTGTTTTTTTTTCTTGCTCTCTTCCTCTTGTTGGATCTACTGCTCGCCCCTAGCCCATACCCTATCTCCCTCAACCTCAACCCCACTCCTCACCGCACGGCAGGACGCGGGGTTACGAGGAGCTCTCTCTTGTTCGTCTGTTTTCTACCCCACCCCCATCAATACACCCTTCCATTTTTCCCCATCCCAACCCCACCAAACTCCTTTTCACCACACGGCAGGACGCGGGGTACGAGGGGCTGCTGGGCGGGCCGGAGGTGGATGAGGAGGACGAGGAGGAGATTAAGGAGCAGGATGAGTTCGAGGAGCTCTTCAACTTCCGCTACGAGGAGCCGGGCGGCGCGTTCGTTGCTTCTTATCCCAGGTGGGTGGACGGGATATGAGGGGATGGGATGGGCGTTGAGAGGGTAGGTCAGGTCAAGGCATGAAGTACGGGAGGAGAAGAGCAGGATGAGTTCGAGGAGTTCTACAACTTCCGCTACGAGGAGCCCGGGGGGGGGGGGGGGGCGTTCGTCGCCTCCTACCCCAGGTGAGAAGGGGAAGGGACGGGAGGGGACGACATGAGAGGGGATGGGATGGGATGGGATGGTTTGGGATGGCATGGGATGGGATGGGATGGGATGGGATGGGACGAGAGGGGACGGGATGGAGAGGGTGTTGGGGGTTTTGATTGACAGGTCTGCCTGAACGAGGAGTTGGAGGAGCTCTATAACTTCTGCTACGAGGCTCGGAGCCAGGTGGAATCCGCGTGTAGTGAGGTGAGGTGAGGTGATGTTTGAAGCGCCAGAAAAATGAGTTGGAGGAGCTTTATGATTTCCGCTACGAGGAGCCGGGTGGGGCGTTCGTTGCCTCCTACCCCAGATGGGTGAGACGCTGCAAGGGGAAGGGTGGGGTGGGGTGGGGTGGGATGGGATGGGCTGGGATGGGATGCAAAGGCACACTACGCAGCTCTTCCGCTCTTCTTTTCTGCTCGCCTTTCCCCTCGCCTTTCCCCTCGCATTCCCTCCTCCTCCCTTTCTGCACTCTCCTCCCCCCTCACCTTTAACCCTGCCATTCCCTTGCTCGTCTGTCTCGTTGAGCGGGGAAGCGGGCGAGGAAGGGAACGGCAGGGATAAAGGTGAGAGAGCGGAGGGCAGCAAGAGAGCGGAGGGCAGCAATGGAGGCAGAGAGGCAGGCAGAGCTGCGACGGCTCTCAAGAACCTCAAGAAGCTACCTCTCACTCTCTCTCTCCCCTCAACTCCTTTCTTGCCCCCGCCCCTCCCTAACCCTCCTGCTCTCCTTTTTCCCATCCGCTTTCCCCCCCCCCCCTCTTCCCCATTCCGCTCGCCCTTTCCCCCGCTCCCGCTCCCCCTCTCCCCCTTGCCGCTCCCCCCCTCTCCTCCACCCCCCGTCCATTCAGGGAGATAGAGGGGTTGGTGCGGCGCAAGACGGATGCGAGGAAGAGACTTTTGAGTCACCTCTGCCCCTCCTGCTCCCATCTCTTCCCCCCTCCCGTTCCCCCCCCTCTCCACCCGCCGTCCATTCAGGGAGATTGAGGGGTCGGTGCAGCGCAAGATGGACCGCCTTGACTCATGTTCGAAGGGCAGCAGGTTTTTTTTTAAGGGCGCCTCAAAAGTCGCTCCTCCTGTTCCCCCCCTTCCACCCCCTCAATTCTTCAGAGAGATAGAGGGGTCGGTGCGGCGCAAGATGGAATCGAGGAAGCTGGCGAGGAAGGCGCGGGCGGAGCGGCGTGCAGCACTGGAGGCGGAGAGGCAGGCGGAGCTGCGACGGCTCAAGAACCTCAAGAAGCAAGACATTCTTGAGAAGCTTCAGAAGATTAAACTCGTTGCTGGGCTGGGCGGAGGGGACGGGGACGGTGGAGGGAAGGGAGGGAAGGGTGGGAAAGGAAGGAAAGGGAAGGGAGGAGGTGGGTGGGGAGGTGGGGAGGAGTGGGATGGGGAGGAGGCGGCTGGGCCGATGGTTGAGTTGCTGGAATCGGTTGAATTTGAGGACGATTTTGACCCTGTTCTGTTTGATGCTAAGATGAGAGCTGCTTTTGGGGAGGAGTATTATGGGAAGGAGGATAGGGAGTTGGCTGAGGCGAAGAAAGAGGAGGAGGGGGAGGAGGAGGAAGAGGAGGAGGGAAAGAAGGGGAAGAAGGGAAAGAAGGAAGCGACTGCCAAAGATGATAGTGTGGAGGAGGAAGAAGAGGAGGATGAAGAGGAAGATGAAAACGAAGAGGAGGAAGAGGAAGAGGAGGAAGAGGAAGAGGAGGAAGAAGAGGAGGAGGAGGAGGAAGAAGAAGAAGATGAGGAAGAAGAGGAGGGGAGGAAGGGAGAGAAGGAAGCGACTGCTAAGGATGATGGTGAGGAGGAGGAAGAGGAGGAAGAAGAAGAGGAAGAAAAGGAAGCGGAGGAAGAGGAAGAGGAGGAGGAGGAGGAAGAGGAAGAAGAAAAAGAAGAGGAGGAAGAGGAGGACGAGGAGGAAGAGGAGGATGAGCAAACGGTAAAGAAGGGGAAGAAGGCAGCTGCTGCTAAAAGCGATAGTGAGGAGGAAGAGGAAGAGGAGGAAAATGAAGAGGGGGAAGAGGAGGAAGAGGAGGAGAAAGAGGAGGTAGAAGAAGAGGAGGCAGAGGAGGAGGAGGAAGAGGAGGAAGAAGAAGAAGAGGAGGAAGAGGAGGAAGACGAGGAAGACGAGGAAGAGGAGGAAGAGGAGGAAGAGGAGGAAGAGGAGGTGGGAAAGCCTGATTTTGAGAAGGAGGACGAGCTGTTGGGGCTACCCAAGGGGTGGATGAACGTGGGTTCCAAGGGGTTCGGTGCGGTGCGCCAGAAGCTCATGAAGCAAGGCCTCATCCCCAGCGCTTCTGCTTCTTCGGGAAAGAAGAAAGGAGATGAGGAGGAGGAGGAGGAGGAGGACGAGGAAGAAGACGAAGAGAATGAAGAGGAGGGAGATGTGGAGATGGAGGAAAATGAAGATGATGACGAGGAGGAGGAGGAGGATGAGGAGGAGGAAGAGGGCGGAGAGGGGGGGAGGGGGAGTGCGAGGAAGAGGAGGAAGCAGCAGCAGATGTCAGTACGTGAGAAGGTGGCGTTTGACAAGCGCCTGGAGGAGTATTACAAGCTGGACTATGAGGACATGATTGGTGAGTGGGTGGTGGGCGGTGGTGGGTGGTGGGTCTGCTTTTGAGTCGACTCAGAAGGTGGCGTTTGACAAGCGCCTGGAGGAGTATTACATGCTGGACTATGAGGACATGATCGGTGAGTGGGTGGTGGTGATGGTTGGTGGTGGGTCTGCTTTTGAGTGGACTCAGAAGGTGCTTTTGAGTCAACTCAGGACATGATCGGTGAGTGGTGATGGGTGCTGGTGAGTTGTGGTGGGTGCTGGTGGGTGCTGGTGGGTGATTGGTGGGCTGTGGGTGAATGGTGGGTTTTTTTCATGTATGCGTCCTACGAGCACCCTGTTTGATCCACGTCCATCAACAACCCAGTGCTACAACCCCTTGAAGCCCACGTTCATCCACGTTCATTGGCAGGCTCTTTTTTCCGCTTCTGTGTTTGTACAGGTCTGCAGCATGAAGCCCTAGGCCTAGGGCCACCATCGGTCGTCTCTACCTCTCTCTCCCGTTCCAATTCTTTCCCATCTCTGCCTTCTCCTCGTCTTCTACGTACCCCCACTCTCCCTTCCTGTTCCCTCCCTCCAGGCGACCTCCCAACCCGTTTCAGGTACCAGCAGGTAAAGCCCAACAACTACGGCCTCAAAGTCGATCAGATCCTTCAGCTTCGAGACAAGGATCTGAACCAGATCGTGTCACTTAAAAAGCTAGCTCCTTACCAGCCCGAGGAGTGGGTCGTGCCTAAGTGGCGGCGGCGGCAGGTGCTAAGCGCGGCGCTTAGAGCGCAGCAGGATGAGGAAGGGCGGAGGAAGAGGGAGGCTAAGGGGAGGAAGAAGGTGAAGGGGAAGGATGGGAAGGGGAAGGGAAGGAGGGAGCCGTTTATCAGGTTGGCAGAGGAGGAGAAGGAGGAGGAGGAAGAGAGGGGTGGAGAGGATATGGATGGAGAAGAGGGGGACGAGGAGGCTGAGGAAGGGGGGATGATGGAGAGGGAGGGAGCGAGGAAGAGGAAGAGAGGGAAGGAAGGGAAGGAGAAGGGGAAGGAGGAGGATGAGGAAGGAGCGGGAGAGGGGGCGGAGGAAGGGAAGAAGGCAAGGAAGCGCAACAGAAGGAAGAAGCAGCAGGAGCAGGGAGAGGGGGGAGCAGAGAAGGCACATGGGCAGCAGGAGAAGAACAAGGAGAAGCAACAGAAGGACAAGAAGGAAAAGAAGGATAAGCAGGCACAGGGGGCAGGCGGTGGAGCAGAAGGGGAGGACGCGGGCCCGAAGGTGAGCAAGGCTGTGAAGAAGAACCTGGCGAGGAAGCAGAAGAGGCATGAGAAGATGCTTCTGGAAGGGAAGGACGGCAAGCAGGCTCTGTCGGTGTCCCGGCTGCAGTCGTACGGTGTGATTCCCGTTGAGAAGGAGAAGAAGGGGAAGTAGTGGGGTTGAGGCTTGGGGAACTCTGAGACGTCTCAGAACTCGCTGTCGGTGTCCCGGCTGCAGTCGTACTGTGTGATACCTGTTGAGAAGGAGAAGAAGGGCAAGGAGAAGGGGGGGAAGAAGGGGAAGGAGAAGGAGAAGTAATGATGTGGGTTGGAGAAGTGCTGCTGGCGGTGTCAGGGAGGCAGTGGTTGCGGCTTTTGAGGCAGGCTTTGATCTGGTGTGGTGTGCTTATGTGCTTTCGAGGCGCCTTATAAGAGCATGAGGGAAGCATCTTTGAGGAGGCGGCACCTGCATTTGTGGTGAGCCTAAGAGGGCTGACCTGTGGAAGAGGGGAAAGGGCTTGGAGGGGGGATTGTGAAGGGGGGGGAGGTCAAGAGGGGGGGGGGGGGGGCCTGGTGGAGGGAGCTCCTGTGGCTCGGTGGCATCTGTGAAGATGTGAAATGACTTAGGTATTATCTGATGAGCTGAGTTATGCATGATCTTCATCCGCTGGTAGCAGCTGTTTATGTGCTGTGCGATGGCAGTGGGGTTTGAGGCAAATGGAAGATGGGGGCAGTGGGGTTTGACGCAAATGGAAGATGGGTGGGGAAGTGTGTCGCGACGAGTGAGAGCAAGGGGGAAAAGTCAAATGAGGGGAGAGAGAGGGGGATTGTAAGGGCGGCTTGTTGGTTGATCGGGGAACATTTCTGGTTGTTAGATGTTTGACCAGTTGGAAGTTTTATTTCTGGGCCGGAATCATGTAGTCATTACGGTAGATGATTTTGCTCAAATCAAGGAATCGTCAGCAGGTTTCTAAGATTCACAGTAATAATTAGTTACTGTACAACTAGTAGGGTCTCGTTGAAGGATTCGTAAGTTTCGCATCGCGATGCACCCAAGAAATCCTCCTCTCCCAACCTGCTCGAGGGCAATTTCGGACGAAGCCATTGCCATGCACATGCACGATACGCATGGCGCCGCGGTTTTCCTCGACGGCGGCTGTCATTGCAGCAAGAGCGTTGCCGCCAGCGACCCTTGACAAACCTTTGACCTCGACTGGGCTGGGCTCGTGTTTGAGCAAGGCCTTCATTCCCACCACCCAAGTCCCGTCAAGTGTTTGTAGTTGTCGATCGTTGTCGCTCACATGCATTCCAGGTCGTCCCTGCTCACCGAGCAGGTTTAATTCTATCCAACCCTGTGCTCTGCGCTCTTCAAAGGATCCTTTGGGAACCTCATGAAAACTTTGGATTTTCTATCCCGTTTATCAAGTTACTTGGTAGTTACTGTGTGATGTGGTAGAATTCATGCGTATGTTCCGGAACGGCATCAGCGCGTGGGGGACTTGACAGAGGACTTCCATTGCACGAGCATCTTAGGAGAGCACGGACTGGATTGACAAAGATGACTCGGTCATGGGAGGAGCGACTTTTGAGACGTCTCAAAAGCACGAGCATCTTGGAGACGTGGGTGAGGATTGACAGAGGCGATTCGGTTCTGGGAGGAGCGAGCAAATGATTCAGAACCGGTTCCGCGCCTTCAGCGCCAAACGAAGTAACAATTACCAGGCACGTCTCTAATGGAGTTTCAAATTAACAAGCTTCTCCTGAAAGTGGCTGACTGGTGGTGTGAGCCGTTGCGTGGCAGTGGTGGCTGGCGCTCCCTTCTCTGAGGCTTGAAAAAAACTCCTCATTCTCGGTGATACCACCTCTGATTTGAGCACTGCATGGTGAGTTCAACGAAAGGTTTTGACTCTGTGTAGTGCCCCTTAGTTTCCAGCATAATTTCTGAAGGAACAAAACTGCCAGGAGGAACAGTTCTTGGATGTCCTGCTAGACAGCCGACGGGCAAAACTGCTAGTCCAAAAGGTGCATACAAATGCCCAGAGCTCCCGCCAAAAGGTATATGCGACAGTCGGGAATCGAAACTAGGTATGAACCGAGCTCACGATAGGTGGTAATCTAACTCTAGACCACTGACATGATCAGTCGTCATTAAATTCGAGGCTTAATTTTTTTCATCTGACATGCAATGGCATCGTAAGGTTTTTGAATTTTGAGAAGGTTCAAAGTGGTGAAGTCAAAAGCACATCTTCTTACTACTGTCAAATTGCAAGCCATAATCATGCATGTGATCCAATCGCAAATATAGCCAAGATGATCCTTCCTTGCCATTACCCCTCTCCCTTGCCAATTATCCAAAGTACCTGCTACGGAATCAGTCCAGTTCATACCGTACGTCCCACAGAGAGCCTCCTAAAAACAAATAACCAACCACCTACCTACCTCTCTTCAGGAACAGGCTCAGTCAACTTCACCCACTGCGGCTTCTCACACTCTTCCTTGTTGAGATGCTTCAGGCATTTGGCCTGCACGCCCTCCCCTCCGTCCACCAGCAGCGGCAGCTTCAGCAACGGGCCCCCATGCAGCCCCTGCACCTCCCACTCCTTATCCACACCACCCAACCCTGCCCCTCCCGGCCCTGGCAACCCAACAGACCCATCAGAAGACGAATCAGATGAGGATGAGGAGGATGAAGATACCGTTTGTGAAGGTGATCCCGTGTTTGTGGAATCTGAACCTTGATCGGCCGCCGTCACTGACGCAAACTCCCATGCTGCAGAGGAGGAAGACGACGACGACGACGACGACGGTGCTGGCACTTCCTGTCCCCGCCTGCTCCGCGGGAGCCCCCCTTCTGTCCCGTCACTCCCTGTCCCAACGGGTTTCTCCGTCTGCTCGTTCCACAGATCAGCCACTGTGATGATCTGGCACCCAGACCTCACCGCCTGGTCCCACATGAACACCGCCAGTTCCGACCGCATCGGCGCAACCGGACACACCACCAGATGCCCGGAGGCGATTTTATCCGCCGCAAGGGAGTCTAGCGTTTCTACGATGAGAACAGCTTGGTCCGGGGTGTTGTGGATGTCTCCTTCTCCTGCGGCTGTTTGTGCAGTGAACAGCACGCGCCCCTCGAGGGACGGCGACATTTGGCGGTATACTGGAAGGGCTTTGGAGTCGGAGAGGAGGAAGAGGAAGCGGCCGGCGGAGGCGGAGAGTGCGGGCCAGGCGGTGCGCGTTGCGATGGCGGAGGCGAGGGTTTCGTGGGAGGCGCGTACCTCGTCGGGTGTGATGATCTGCGAGCGCGGGATGACCGAGAGGATTTCGAGCTCGAGATCCAGGAGGCTCTGTAGTGCGGGAGAGGGAAGAGAGGGGGGAGTTCATTTTCAGGGAGTTTAAGGGGACGGGATGATGGAGAGGATTTCGAGCTCAAGGTCCAGGAGGCTCTGTGGTGCGGGGGTGTGGGGGAAGGGGCGATGAGGGAAGGAGAAGGTGAATGTTGAAGGAATTTGAAGGGGACGGAATGACGGAGAGGATTTTTTATACGAGGTCCAGGAGGCTCTGTGGTGTGTGTGGAGGAAGGGAGGGGAGAGGGGGATGAGGTGAAACCTGAGTCAACTGATTTATCGATGTGAGGATGAGGATGCTCTGTGGTGTTGGGGAGAAGGGGAGGGGGAGAAGGGGTGGGGCAGGGGGAGAGGGAGAAGGAGATAGATAGTAAATCACGTAAAATTTGAAGGGAAAGGTATAATGGAGAGGATTTCTGATTAAGACGTTTCAGAACCAATCCATTTTTACTGGTGTCCAGGAGGCTTTGGTGGGTGGGTTGGAGGAAGGGAACGGAAGAGGGTGAAATGGAAGGGAAATGGAAGACGCACTTTTGAAACAAGAATCTTACACAGCGGAAATCAGCGCACTACTGAACGTTTGATAAAACAGGGAAGGTCCTGGTCTGCTGTATGCATTCCTCACGCGCTATTCGGTATCCCCCACCACATGTCATACTCTGTTATCCCCACCTGTTCCGAGACGGGCAATGGCCGTGTGAGCATTTGAGTAAGATTGCGTAGCAGCAGAAAGCCATCGCTATGAACATCAGCTCTTCTACAGGCACTTTCTGCACAATGTTTCCCCCACCTGTTCCGTGACGGGTAGGGGCGGTGTGAGCAGTTTAGTGAGCTTGCGCAGCAGTGGGAAGCCGTCGCCAAAGTCGATGTTGACGGTGATGGGCAGGTGCCGCGGGTGCTGGTCGGAGAAGGCTTTTACTGCCGCCAGGCAGTCGCGCAGCGTGGCGCACGTGGAGAGGAAATCCACATCCTGCATGCGCATCACCTGTAGGGGTGGAGGAGGGGGGTGCGGGGGGGGAGGAGGGGGGTGGGGGTTGTGGATGGGGGTGGATGGGGGTGGATGGAAGGGAGGGGGAAGACCAGTGGGGAGAAGGGGTTGAGCAGCGGGGCGCACGTGGAGAGGAAGTCCACGGCCTGCATGCGCATCACCTGGTGTTGGGGAGGGAGAGAGGGGGAGAGGGGTTGGCGTGCATGGAGACAGGGAAGTGGTAAGTCGGTCCAGGGGTGAACAGGCACGGGGGTGCGTGGTGGTGCATTGTGGTGCGTGGTGGTGCATGGTAGTGCGTGGTGGTGCATGGTAGTGCGTGGTGGTGCATGGTGGTGTTGGTCAACAGAATGATATTGTTTTAAGGGAGGGAAGGAGAGAGAGGGAGGTGTGCATGTAGGGGGGGGGGGGAAGCAGTGTAAGTAGCCTTTAAGTGGGTAACTATGGCGAGTGACCAATCGGGGGACAAGGATAAAAGTTACGGGAATAAGTCAGGAAACGAATAAGTCAAGAGGAAGAGCAAAAGGGGTGCGGGAGGGAAGGGGAAGGTGGAGATGAATAACCCTGCCTTTAGGGAAGGAAGGAAGGGCAATTTACTCTTTCGGGTTAATTCTGCATTTCTTGGTGATCTGCTTTCGGTTATTTATAACATGACCAACAAGGCCAAGCCACTGCAAGCATCTTCAATCCAGTCCTCTCACACTCGGGGCACACACCTTTCTCTCTTGCTCACGTGTACACACTCACGCACCTTGTAGCCCGGCTGGTTGAGATTGAGTTGAGTGTTGTTCGATGGGTCTATGCGCTGATACACGTTAGGGGAGGAGTAGCGCCCCCCCTCGGGATCATACAGCACCTGGATTGGTGGGGGGAGAAAGGGCGGAGAAAGAAGGAGAGAAGGATGGGAGGAGGGAGGAGGAGGATTGGGAATTTCATGGCTGGGACAGAGGACAGAGAGGGCAAGGGCAGGGATAGGAGGGGAAAATTGGGTGGACCAATTTGAGCGTTTAAAATATACTCTGTGGAAACCTGAGTATTAGGTACGATTCTTGAACCATTCTTTTTTTTCGCAAATCAATTGACCTGTAGAGTTTTTTATCTGCCCCTGCGATTCTTGATCAGGCACCGAATCTTTACCACTCGAACAGACTTACATCGAGGTGTACATAACGGTAACCTGCCGAGAGCTGCTCCTGTAACGGCTTGTGCGTGAAATTCGTGGTGCGAGCAAACGACATCATTCCGTTGTCCTGCAGCCACCTAAACACCTCCGGTTCGGGCGCCACGTGGTAACTTCTGCGACTCCCCACAACTTGAACTTCGTTCATTCGCAACGAATGCGGTCCGAGGGGAATTAGGTAATCCTCTGGGTTACCACCATCGCCGTTTTTCGCTAGCACCACCAGCCACACACACACCATCACCCCAACCACCAATCCTACCGCGGCAATCAGCAGGACCAGCAACCAAACATGCGCCGAAACCTTTCCGCCAAACCCTCCCCCTCCGCCACCTCCCCCTCCCCGGTCCCCCGTCCCGGTAGCGGTTGGCGAACTCAACGGCGTTCCGCCAGCGGGGCGCGCGAACGCTGACGAAAACCAATCGCGAAGCGCATCCAGCGACGAGAGGTTGGATGACGACGGGTGCGACGACAAACCCCGCGGGAAGAGCCGCGGATGCGCCGCAAGCCTAGGAGACGGCCTAGGATTAGGGAGGTAGAGATTAGGGTGGTTAGAATGCAGCATCCCAGGAGAAAGCAGCGATTCCACGTCATCTCCGCCATCCGCCGCGCGAGCGCTTCCCGCGATCCCCGTGATACCCGCTATTCCAAGATTACCGCCAGAGCCGTGCGGGCTCGTGCCGGCGCGGCGGCCACGTGGCATCGCCCGAGGAATGGCTGCGCTGCTGCTTGTGTACTCCGCATTCGACGGTGATTTTTGCGCTCCAGGTGCAGTTCCCGATGGGTACTCGATGCTTAGCGGCCGCAGCGGTCGTGCGGGGGCGCGCTGACCCCCGTTGCTGCTGGCAGAGTCGCCGTTGGCGCTTGCGGAGGTTGCGCAGGGATCCGACGTGGAAGCGGTAGGAGCGGAAGGAGAGGATGTTGCGCCGTCGGGGTCAGCTGAAGGAACAGAAAAGGAGAAGTCCCCTTCGGAGTTGGAGCTCGCGTAAGGTGCGGCATTGGGCTGCGCTTCGGCGGCGCCGCTGACGGCGGAGGTCACGGCAGCTGCCTTGGACGACGCAGCCGCTGCTCGCGCCTTATCCTGCAGGGAATAATGCGGGCCGCGTTGTAAGAGTGGAGAAATCGGCGCACCGTTGGTAGATGTGGATGTAGGGGAGAGCTCGTCTTCCCATCGCGATTCCGCAACGGTTGGGAGAGCGGGAGGATGAGGCTGGTGATGCTGGTTCGGTGGTGGCACCATGGCTGCTGCGATGTGCTGCTGCTGCCGAATGTTTTGGTGCAATACACGAATAGTGGAGCAGATGCGATTACGAAGTTGACGCACAATGTAGGGGTCTAGGATGAAGTAATGCTGCTGCGAAGTACCGATCGAAGCAAGGATTGATTATACGAGCAGGGTGAGAGGGGGGAAAGGAGGGTGGATGGTGGAAATGGATGGTCGTGGAGTATGTAAGGAAATCACTTTCAACTGTCACTCCCATGAGGCGCGGAAGCAATTAAGGTATTGCGAGCGGGCTCCGATTGCTAATATCCGACAGCACCGGAATGAAGCTGATTTGAGTGGAGCATTTCGGCGACCAAACATCTCACCTCACCAAACCAATTCAGCTGAGGCGTGGTGCATCCAGTCCGGATGCTGCCAAAGACAGCACTTTGAGGGAGGTTCTTTACGGTATTTTTATGTTGTAGAACGGTGAAAATCCGTTCTGGATCAGGCCATGAATACACCACACCACACCGAGTTGAACAACACAGCTGACTCACTCCCACTGCACGGAAACCTGGGTACATCCTCACGCGCTACTAGTAGTTCTTATGCAATGTACTTCAAAAAAAAAATGCGAGAGGCCACTTTGTGTCCGCTGCTGTCGGCCATTAGGTAAATCAATAAGAACAGACACGCAATCCCGCCCAGAGGGCCATCTTCCCATTCTGAAATAACTGAAGTCATGGAGAAAAAACAAAAACTTGTAACAAGTCCCAGCTAATTGAGACAAACCTGACCACTAACACAGAACCCATATAGGCAAAACTGAACTCTTGTCGACGCCCAAATCGTAAGTGATGGGATTTGAATGGAAGAAGTCAACGCAAAAAGTCTGAAAATATTGCGAGATCTGTGAATTAATGGAGGCTCAACAGCACAGCTCAAATGCCTACCCAAACCGCCAACGTGACTTTGAGGGTCAGTTCAGGTCAGGTCAGGTGGTCTGGGGCTGCATTGTTTTGATTGGAGAGGAGTACCTAGTTATTCCTAGGAGAGTTTGTAAAGTGGCAAACCAGAGGGGCTTTCCCGGCCTCGGAATAGCTTGAAACTAGCTCATTGCAACAACATGTCCATCCCCATTCTCCAGCTCCCCCAAGGGGGTGTGGTTTAAAGCATTTGGATCACTTGGTTCTTCTAGGGTTTCTGATGACTGTAGACCCTCAAACTTGTGAGCACAACAACATAACGTGCTGGTCACCCTTGGTTGAACATGTCGGGATTCATGGTCTGGCACAACATACAGCTATTGGCAGGTATACACACTCATATCCTTAGTGCCAAGTATTGTAGAAGGCTGACACAATCGGTTCGGCAATGGTGCAGCGGTGCCATGATATGTGGACATGACTACTTAGACTGCGTGTGGAGACGAATACATATTTCGACCGTACAGCCTTTTCACACGCGTTCGCATTTGCTTACCTCTAGTGGCTCGAAGGAACGATATGAGACATCTGCTGTACCCAACTGTACGTGCTCAGCTGCCCGCACCAAACTTTCAACGAGCGACAAACAAACAGAAGCTTGTTGGGAAAACCGTCGCACCGGTGACGCGACAGCCTGGCATCCTTGCAGCGAAACCTGTCCGATTACACTCCAGGCGTACACTTCTGAAGGGTTTTAACTTCTGGTTCAAAGTACAACAAAAATATAGAAAAGTGTTGTTGGTCATTTCGACATGTAAGGAAATTCCCTTTTCCTTACTTCGCGTCCCTGCCCAGCGCGTACGTCACTGTAGCACCTCAGTCAGCACCGTTACCACTCGCGACCATCGCATCATTCATCATCCCGCCTTTTTCGCACATCGCATCCCGACCTCACGGCTCGACTGGTAACCCGCGCTCCGGGCCTACGCTTCGACACTTTCCCAACCTCAGTCCCAGGCTCGACGCGCGACAACCACAGTCCATTACCGTTACCACTATTGTTTCGCTATATAATCCTTCGCTCATGCCTTCGCTCATTGTACTTTTGCTTCGATAGTGCAATTCTCGTTCCTTCACTCAATTGCACACGTAACACTTGGTATTCAGAGCCTACGATCTCATCTTGGACCGCATCCACACCTTCGCTTCCCACTATCTCAATTTTTTGGGGGGGGTAGACGTCTCTCAGCGACACAGCACCGCCGCTCGAAGTGCTCTCTCGCAAGCACGCACGGCCACGACCGAGGCTCTCGCTGAGCTTGCCCGACACCCCCGCCATGGCCGACCTCAATCTCGCCACGTTGACGCAGGAGCAACTCGATCGTCTCGTGCGACAATTGGAGGATTCGGCGCTTGAAATCGCGACGCTCACGGCGGAACGTGACTCCGCCCGTCAACAGTCAACGGTGAATGCTCCGACAACATCCCACGCACCAACCAATGTCTCTGTACATTCGGAGGAGCCGATTATCATTTCATCCGGCACACCAACGCAACACAACAGTACGGGACAGCGCTCAGGCGCAGCCAGTGACGGCGCAGCCCAACCGATGCCCGGCATGGGAGGGAACAGGAGCACGCTAAGCCCACGGGAGCCCCGTGAAGCCCGTCGGCACGTGGAGTTTGCGACGACAAGTGGTGAAAACGCCATGATGGCCCCAATGCCACTCAAGCCGCAACGCCCGCCCTGCTTCGACCCAAGCCAACGCGGCGGCCCGACAGTTCAATCGTGGGTCTTCACGATGAATGTGTTTTTCGACGCCAACTACGTCGAGTCGGACGCCGCCAAGATTCGGTATGCGGTTTCACTACTCAGGGGCCCCGCCATGGACTGGTGGCGAGTCATCGTGACGTCGCCACGCGCCTACGAGCCACCGTCGCACGAGGAAGGGCCCTCGGGTCCAGCTGTCACCTGGAGTTCGTTCTGCGAAACAGCCCAATACAGCACGTGGGATGCGTGGTGCGCAGGGCTTCGGGCGCGTTTTGAGCCGATCGCGGCTTCGATTTCGGCGCGTCAGAAACTGCGCACTTGGCGCCAGCTCGGGTCGGTTCAAGACTACACCAGCGGTTTTCTCGCACTTTGCGAACAGGTCGGCTACATGCACGAGGCGGAGCGGGTGGACCGTTACGTCGGAGGGCTGAAGCCGGACATATCGCACGAGATAATGCTACGCGGGCTATCGAATTTCAACGAAATCCTCGCGCTCGCCGAGAAAATCGATATCCTACGCCGACCGAGACCGGGGTCCTATTTCGGACATCGCCCTCGGGGACCGATCGAGCACGCCACTGTACATGCCGTCGCAACGAATGCAGCTGCCACGCCATTTAGAGGGCGCTGCTTTGCTTGCAACCGGCCGGGCCATCGCAAGAGCGAATGTCCAGAGGAGCTGAGGCGTCGAGGAGCAGAGCAGGGGAAGGAGTCTCGGAGGCAGGGAAACGCCAGCAGTCAGTAGAAGTTGGGCCAACTACTGACGAGACTGCCTGCTCGCCCAACCACACCGACCCTCACCGAGTCACAGTACCGATTCACGCCATCGATCGGGCTCGGATGAATAAGGAGGGTACAGCGACGGATTGCCCGGTACTGATCTACGGGAAAATACAGGGAGCAGCAGTGAAAATCTTCATTGACGGAGGAGCAAGTCACAGCTTAGTTAATACTGCAACCGCACGGAAATTACAGTTAACACTTAACCGATGTTTACCTGAGATAGATGCACGCTTAGTCGACGGCACGCCTTTGGCCATACGAGAAAAAGTGGAGCGAGTAAAAGTCCGCTGCGGGGGAAACTTCGGGTTTACACAGGAAATGCTCGCAACGACGCTGGATGGGCACGACATTTTACTGGGACGTGATTGGCTGCGACGGTACAACCCACGGATCGACTGGACGACGGGGAGCTGCACAGTGCGAAGTAGCGGTAACTGGGTCGTCCTACCTCGCTGGCGGCCACCCGAATCTTCGACAGTCCAGGTCAACGCCATCGCGATGAAACGGGCTGTCGCTGCTGGAGCTGACGTGTACGCAGTGGATATCGCAGTGGTAGAAAAAGACGAGCAGCAGAACGATTTACAGAAACTGCTAGCAGCCGTACCGACCGAATTACAAGCACTACTGAAACGGTTCCCGGGGATATTTCCGGATGATTTACCACAGGGACTGCCACCTCAGCGAGCGCACGACCATAGGATCGAGCTAGAACCGGGGGCACAGCCAACAGTACAGCGGCAATTTCGACTGACACAGCCCGAGCTCGACGAGTTAAGGAAGCAGTTAGATTACCTGTTAGAGAAGCAGTTTATTCGACCGAGCTCGTCACCGTTCGCCGCACCCATACTGTTCACACCGAAAAAGGACGGAGGTTTTTGCATGTGCATCGACTACCGAGCACTTAACCGAGTAACAGTCAAATCGCGATACCCCATCCCCCGCGCCGACGAACTGATTGACCAACTGCGAACAGCACGTGTCTTTTCGAAAATAGATTTACGAGGAGGTTACCATCAGATTCGCGTCGAACCATCGGACTGCGCAAAAACAGCATTTAGGACTCGGTACGGGTCATTCGAGTATACAGTAATGCCCTTCGGGTTGACGAACGCGCCTGCGACTTTTCAGATGACCATGAACGAGGCATTTAGGCCACTTTTAGATAAATGCGTCATCGTTTACCTAGACGATATCCTCGTTTACAGTCGGGATAAGCAGCAACACTTAACAGATCTTGAAGCAGTTTTTAAGGTTTTAGAGGAACATCGGCTGCTCACCAAGGGCTCCAAGTGCGAGTTTTTTAGGGATAGGCTAGAGTTTTTAGGTCACGTCATTTCAGAGGCTGGGGTTGAGATTGACCCAAAGAAGCTGGACACGGTAAAAGCGTGGCGCCCCCCGACGAACATCACGGAACTGCAGAGTTTTTTAGGGTTTGTTAATTACGTTCGACGGTTCGTGCCCGACATGGCACGTTTGACCGCCCCGCTAACTAATTTACTGCGTAAGGGGGTCGCTTTTACGTGGGGGGAGAAAGAGCATGCTGCCTTCTCTGC